TCAGCATTTACTCGAAGTGATTTCCTTCGCGGAGAATGCGAAAATATTTCTCTGCTGCAACAAGATTGATCTTAGTAAAAACGACGTCCAAGTTACCGACGAGGAAATGGAAGTTTTTTGGTAAGTTCCTGCAATTTTTTTTACTTTCATAAAAAGAAAATTATCAGAAATAATTTTAAAGCCGCTTGTATTTTTTACGAAATAATTGTATACAGTACTCGATTATAATCTTCCTGAATCATAGTTAATTTCATTTCTTCAAAAAATTGCTTTACTCTTAATATTCTTACAGCATGTACGGCATCAGTACAGTACTGTATTTATTTGCAGGGATAAATATCTGAAATACTTTCTTTTACCGCGATATCTTCTACCTACTCCAAGCCGATTATTCAATGCTGTGTGATGCACCAAATATGTAAATGTAATGCTTGGATTAAAAATTCAAAATTTACCTATACTGAACAGTACTTTTTTTGGGGACCCTTAATTTTGCAGAATGTTAATAATAGTCGAAGAACATCTCCTTTGAATTTACCAAATTTCAACGAAACACTTTTTTTTAAAGAAAAAATTCAAGACAAGCGAAAATTATTTTTGTTCATTTTTCAATCGTTTTATTCGAACACGCATGTCCGTTTCCGGCAAAAATGCAGTCCCCCGAGTGTGACGTTGAATATTTTTTTTCGTTATGAACATTATTTGCTGATTATGCAGCGAGCAGTTCCATAACGTGGTATCAGCCGTTTATAAAACATCATGTCGAACTGGAGAAGGAGTTGAAGAGATGTTCGACGATATTGCAAAGTTGTTGCTGGAAGTGAACCGCTCAAGAATGGAGCTGGAAGCGTTGGAGCAAGAATCCTTCCGGTTGCTGGAATGTGATGAACCCCCTGTTCAAGACCAGTGCAGTTGCTAGCAAACTGCGCGTGCTTTTTTTTCACGTCTGAACTGTCAACAAATCATTCAACATGTGCGAAGGTTTTAACCTTATACAGGAAAGGTTAACGATCAGCGGAGCTGTTTTTTATTGAAGTAAGCCTAGGACTAGAATCAACTTCTTGCGTAGACTAAAAGAAAAAGAATGTGCTCAGTCAATCATTCTACGCAAATTTGAAGCACGCTGACCTTCAATATGAATCGGCTGTGATCATCTGAGGAAGTGTTTCTCTGAATGTGCTCATTCAGTAGCGTAGAGTCTGTTTGAAACAGAGCTGGTTCCGTGGAATAGGTGAGCAATTTTTATAAATTGCGATCTCGATTTCATTTATGTAGCGCTCATTTGGGAGCCTGATTTTTAAGTGTTTTTTTTTTCCTTGTGATGCGAGGAAATGTTTATTTCGGTGCCAACGCGGCCAGTGAATAGCTTCTTGAGTCGTAAACCATTAGGCGGAAGTTGTTCCCATTACTTTCCACTGGTATATTTTTGTGATGATTTATATCCTTTCGTGTTCCGTGATGCCCCTGATGACATCGACTTCGTGATACTGTGCAGATTCGTTCGTTCATTCATTTTTTATTTCGAATACGACATTAAAATTGGTTTTATGTGGAACGTAAGGACATCTGAGCTTGGTTGACATGAGTTATGAGTAATTGTTTTTTAATATTTCTGTCGTGAGAATCATGAAGACACTAGTTGTCTTCCATAATTGGAGCTGTTTTAATGACAATTGAGTCATGAGTGACCCAGGACCCTGCGACTGGTTTATGTGAATTGCAGTACTACAAGGTGTTCGAAAAATTACTTCGCGTCGGAGAATCCCTTTGATGAAATTACTTTCTTCATAATCTGAAAGTATATATTGTTATACTGTAGGTAGATGTTGGCAGAAGTAGTAGTTAATCCGCCCTGAGAGCCGTGGGTCTGGATTCCTTATTCGTAGAAGCTGCAATGAGCAATTATAAACACCAAAGAAAAAGATTATTTTACCACCTACGAGAATGTATTTTTCAGTTATTAGCGTACTGTTCGGGTTTTTTGTTTGTTTTGGAAACGAGCGATTTCCAGCTTTATCGATCTGAGGAACTGCATTGCTTGAAATGAAACCCACTTTGATCGGAAGGTTACTTGAACTTGTATTACTGTGCAATGACTTTTCGGACGAATTGATAACTTGAACAATAATTATTTTTTGAGCCGAGGCAATTAGTAAAACCTGAATCCTCATTGTGTGAATAGGTATTCAGCATTTTTCGGTATCAGGCAAGTGAAATCTAGGGAACGGAGTTTTGATTTCTGGACGTTCAAAATGTTTTCCTTTATTTTCTTTCTTTCGGAAACCAACGGAACTGTGCTTGACTTGAGTTCAATAAAAATTTTTAATGACCTAGGTGGTTAACGAAGTGGAATTTTTCCCATTCTGTTTCGTTTCCCATGCTCGACTGCGGTAGTTGAGGCTGTCATTTTCTTTATTAACGTGGGAATGTGAAATTTTCTTTTTTTTTATCGTGCAGTGTCCCGTTGGAAGAGATCTTGAATTCGTGGGTAAATTGCGACGCGATGTGTCCAGTCTTTTGAAAAAAATTGGCGATAATTTGTTTCGGAATTCAGCGCGAATCCCATATTAGTGATGAGTGCTGTACAATTGTCAGAAATTCAAAC